CACAAAAACCTAAGTAGTCCTGGGAACCCTATTTCTTGTGAATTTGGTTCATGGCAGGCATAAAGTGAGGGAGACTTTCCAAGATTTTACAACCTGCCTGGGCAGAAATGATTGGCAGTGCTGATGGCCAATCACAATCCTATTACTTCATTAGAGGTGGGCTCAAAGGATGGGCTCTCTGTTCTTTATTAACATCATTAACCCTCATATCTGGGGACAAAGATTGCTCATTGCTACTTTACAAACACTGCATTTTTCATTTGTTATGCTCATGTGAAATTTATCTTTCTGGAAAGGTACACACAAACTCTTAGGACTTACTTGAACACACTAGTTAACATTCAATTTATTTTCATCTTCTTTTTTCTGAGAGAGAAAAAAAATCATTAACTAATGATTGTCAGGAAGTTTTCTGCCTATGATAGGCATTTGACCAAGGGTCCCCTGGAACATACAGTTGTTTAAATTTGCATTTCTCCAGGAAGGATCTAATAGCTAGAGAGAGTTTGGGGATTAACATTCAGATTTCTGTCACTCCTGCTGCTCCTTGTGTCCATAATCACAGTCCTCAAGGATTAACACTCTTGTGACTATGGTTATACCCTATTGTGGGCTCTCCCAGGAACAATTCCATTAATATCACTTTTCATCTTCCTAGGTGCAAACTCAGGAACCAGTCAGGGAGAGACTCTCTCTCAGCCCGATGCCAGCTTTCTCAGAGCCTGCTGGGGAGGAGTCTGCATTTACTGGGACCACAACAGGTGTTTTCCCCAACTTAGGAGGGGCTGATGAGGAAAATGCATCATTGACCCAATACCTGGAGATAGAAAGCTGTACTCAAGGCCCACAGCGTGAAGAAAACCAAGACAGAGAAGACAACACACCTGGACATTCCTGGGAAGACCCAGGACATGAGCTGAATCTCCCAGAAGCCAATCATGCAACTATGTCCCCCTGTGAGCTGTCAGTGCATCTCCGTCAGGAGGGCAGTGATGGTCCCAGGGAGCCCGAGGCTCTCTCTGTTGCTTCCCCTGCACCTGCAGATGTTGCCCCCACCCTGGAAGCTGTGTGCCGTGGGCCAGGGGGCAGAGAAGCAGAGTGTTTGATGGAGCGTCTTGAAGCAGGCGACCAAGGAACAGGTGACACCATGGGTGCTCCTGCCAGAGCCCCAGTTCATAAATATTCACCTCAAGAAATTTGCTCCATGGACTTAGAGCTGGCAGAGGGTCAAAGCCAAATACCTGATTTATGTGTTCCTGATGACCAGACACTGGATGTTGTTCTTCAAACACAAGGTTCTGAGCCTCTACACTCCACAGATAAAAGCAACAAGGGTGAAGACTCAGTCGTGTTTCCTGCACCTGGTGATGCCCTCGCCTGGGACATTTCACAAAAAGCCAGTGAGGAATCCACAGGGGAACATCTGGCCAAGGTGGAGCATTCCACCTCCACACCGGCCTCCACAATGCAGGAGAGGCCGAGCCCCAGCATCTCGGGAGGGCTTGAGGAGAGACAGCCTGTATCTCCTGAGAAGTCTTTGGTGTGGTGCAAAGAAGGCGATGAGAGCTCCAGCACCAGTGCCTTGGACACCGCAGACACACCAGCCAGTCACAGCTCAATTGTGACCTTTCCTCAGGAGAAGCCAACAACATTAACTGCTACTCCTGAGTGTCTTCAGGTGACCAGGGAGAATGGGAACACACCAGCTGGTACCATTGCCACCAAAGTCCACTCGGCCAAATACCTCCCTGTATCCATTGCTGAGAACAGCCATGTAGATAGCCCCGAGGAGAGCTCAGCTCAGGTACCAGAAGGAAATATTTTTCAACTTCCTTCCAGTGTACAGCAGGGTCATGTTTTAAATGGCTCCACCACCGAATCTCCCAAAGAACTTGGCATGGCTCCCAGTGGACCAGGAGTCCATGTCTGTGCTCCTCCGCCTCCCGAGGGAGATTCCTGCAGCACTTCCCCTCTTCAGATTGGGAACCAGGCTGGAGATAAGAGCCAGACCGTGGACAGAGCAGACCACAGGAGCCTTGGAGAGCATTTCCAAGAAAAGGGAAGTGAAACACAGAGGATTCAGCCGGAGAGCCTGACCTACCAGGGTTCCCTTTCTGAAGATAATTTCCAAGAAAGTAGGCCTATGACATCTGCTGCACAAGGGGAGACAGACCTGTTGCCCATGGACCCGTCATTAGCAAACTCCATGGAGGAAAGAAGTCAGAGCTCAGGCCTGGGGACTAGTGTGTCTGTGGTGGCCAAAGCAGCCGTGGAAGATGACAGTCAGGCTGTGAGTAGTGCTCCGCCTCTCTCTCAGAGCCCCCTGGAGGGGTCTAAAGAGAGTGGATCAGCACATTGGGAAGCAGGCAATAAGCCCAAGACTATGACTGTAGAGGCTCCTGTCTCTGAGGTCTGGCCACCAAGTCAACTGACAGCTTCTGAGTGCGAGGAGTCAGAAGCTGGTGCCAAGACACCTGTCGGGGTCTGGGCTGTGGCTGCCTCGCTAACGGAAGGTGCTGCTGGGCCTGAACTGGACCCCTCTGAACCCGTAGCATCGGCTGCCAGTCCCCAGGCTGAGGCGGGCTCAGCCCTTGCTAAGGACGGAGAGATCTACGAAGGCAGAAAACCAGCCAGGCGTGCACAATGGAGCTACCTTTCTTCCCGGTACTTGAGCCAACCCCGGTTCCTGGGGTCGTCTGTGGACCCTGTAGATGAAGGTGTCACGGATGGGCCATCAGAGGCTTCCAAAACGGGACAGCAGGAAAATGTTAGCAACGTGAGTCAAAGCCAAGAGGAAAACCAACCCGGCGTGGACCCCCCTGCCTTCTTTAAACAGTTTCTGCCCCACCCTGAAATCCTCGAGTCCTCAGTAGATCCCATTGATGAGATGAGCGTGGTGGAGTGGGCCAGGGTGGAAACCCAGGAGCCTTCTGACTCCACCCTGGGGGTTGTCAGAGAGGAGAGTCAATCAGATGCTGGAAGCTTGGGCCAGAGAGTGGAAGTCCAACCCATCATCTCTCCAGGCCCATGCCCCCAGCAAAGTGGGGAAACCATTCCGAGCGAAAATAGCACCAACAGAAGCCAAGATGCCGGTGAGAGAGGGGAGGCTGAACACAGTCAGCATGACAAAGCCAAAGGCGAAGTCCAGCCTGCCATTTTGCAAGTCCCGTGTCTTGATGAAGGTGGGGTGACAGTTCCAGGGGGATGCAGCGGAAGCCAGGCACACGAAGGCCGCGAGAAGAGCCTGGGGGAGGCCGAGCAAAGTAAAAAGGACGCAGCAGGTGCCATTTCCCCCACTTTACCTCTTTCCAGTGCTCCTGCAGTCCTGGCGCAGGCTTCTGTTGGAGTTGACACAGACAACACCGCAGGTCAAATTCATGCTATCCCTGAGAACCATTTAGTGGAGCCCAGAAACCATCAACATGCATTTTCTGACTCAAAGGAGAAGGGAGAGAGAGAGAGTGAGTGTGGGAAACACTTGCCCTCTCCCAGTGGTCTTACTCAGCTGCCTTTTACTTCATCCCCTGAAGGAAACATAACAGACTTTTCAATAAGCCACAAAATTGAGGAACCTGAAATAGAGGTGCCCCAAAGTGGGGAAACCAAACCCACAAGGGCATCCAGCTCGCCAGCAGTGACTTTGGCGTTGGTTTCGGGAGAACGTGTGTCAGAGACAGCTCCTAACACGCTGCAGGACCCATGGCACCTGGGCCCCACCCCGGGCCGTGGGAGAAAGTCAGGGGAGGGGAGGCCCCGTGGCATGGCAGCCCCGACGGGAAGGTCCCCAGTACCTGCTTGGGAGGAAGTCAAGAAGAAGCAAGAAATCACAGGAAGTGCACGTTTAGCTGAGGGAGTGAAGAGGAAAATTCTGTCCAAGGTGGCTGCCCTGAGGCTGAGATTGGAAGAAAGAGAAAACACCAGAAAGAACGGGAGCTTTCCTAAAAAGATTCCTAAACTCGAAACATCGGTGTCAGGCACGGATGAGAACAAAGACCCCCAAAAGCCACCTTGCAAAAGGGACGGGAAAGGTGAGACTTCGTTGCTCTCTATCCCTGTTAAAGTTTGGGTTTGTTGGCCCGTGTCAGATTCCTGGGTCCTCCTGAGTCCTTGGTAGTTCAGGTGAGTTGCGACCAGGGGGCAGGGACCCCGTGGCTGTGACCAAATGGCTCGGCATATAGGCCCCGGTTCTCAAACTTGAGTGGCTGCAGAATGACCTGCAGGGCTCCACCCCAGGGTTTCTGATTCCACGCATGGGCTCGAGAAATTGCATTTCTAACAGGTTCCCAGGGGATCTGTGGGGAGAGCCTCGCCTATAAGTGCCTGTACGTGTGTTTAATGGAGGGAGTGTGATGAGGATACCCTTTTGTTTAATTACCCGTTAAAACATATTTGCAAAAGATAAGCTGACGCATGAATCAGTACAGCTCATTCGTATAATTAAAGAAACCACATGCTGAGCAGGATTTCCAGAAATAAACATTTAGGTACAATTTGGGAGTCTTCTTTCATCATTGATTTTCATTTAAAATGGCTTCATTGAACATTGGGTTTCCTTCCAAATTTGAGTCTAAAAATTTCTTTCCAACCCACTCTTCACTTTCTGAGTCTAAAGGCCCCAAGGGCATGGTTTCCAGGTTTCAGACCCCTGGAGGCTCAGAGCCCCTGGAACTGCTGTGGCTTCTGCTTGGCCCGGGGAATTACTTTAACCCACATTTCATCCTATAAGCTGACTTTTAGCCTCTTTTACATCAGAACTCTTTCCTTTGCCGTGCAACCTGGCAGAAGTCAGAAGAGGAGATATTGCAGCAGGCGAGGTCCCTTGTGGACGGAAGCAGGGGAGGGGTTCCCCACCAGGTTCAATTCCAGTCAACTGCCGAGTCCTCAGACTTCTAGGCGGTGCTTGTCGTTCTCCATCCAGATTCATGGGCCTCGGCCCGGTTTCAGAGAGAATTAAATATAAAACTACCTTCTGAAGTGTTTGGAGGGATCCATCCTGGTTGCTAGTATATGTGTTTTTAAGCACATTTTAAGAGAATGAAGCGATATTTTCAAAGATCTCTAAAGTGGGTTTACCCCAGACGGAAACAATCTATTTGGAATGTTTGTCCATGGTTATGTAAGTTACCCACAGGGAAAAGGACATTCTAGTAACCACATGCTGTTGGGGACTTTGATCTCTCTCAGCTGCCACAAGCCTCCCGGAGCTCAAAGGGCGGCAAAGATGCGGGACAGCATTTGGGGAGGGGTGGTGCTCTCCCTCCCTGACCTGGTCAGGTAGACTTGGGGGTGGGGATGACTCAGATGATTCTGGAAGAAATTAAACAAACTGAGTAACCTTTGTCCTTTGGACAACTACTCTCCCAGGGCTCTTCTTAGCTGCTTCCACATAGATAGGGCTTCTTTCCAAGCCCTGAGGCCTCTTGTCCAAGCCAGCTTTGCATCTCTCCAAGACCCTCATGTAATCCCACTGCTCATTTTATGCCCTTTCCTCTGTCCCCCATTTTTCTTTGTGTTCAGAATTTACAACAGGTGGTGGAGGGGTTGGCAACTTAGGTACCTTTAGGTCTCCACAGATCACCTGTGCAAACTGCCATGATGTTGGAAGGGCCTTTGAGGAAATGTGTCCCAGATGAGGTGGGCTTGGTCAGGACTCTGGACCAAGAGTTTGAGACTGTGTGCCTGAACACCCAGCACAGCCTGTAAATATGAAACAGCCTGCAGCTATGCCCCCCGTGTCTCTTATCCGAGTGTCTGTTGGCATCAAGGAGAGATGGGAGGCAACCTTAACGCATCGACTATTCCACAGCAGAATTTGTGGGAACAGAGCAAACAGCAACAGTATTGATGACTTTCACCTTGGCTGTGGATTATATATTTTATATCACAAAGCTGCGGAGTTGTGGAACTTGGTCTCCAACCAACAGACACCACATTTCCAGCAACCCTACTACTTATCAAAAGATTGCCACCACCTGGCTGGATCAGCTATATTCGTCTTCTTTAATCTAATGGTTATGCTGCCCCCCAGTGGCTGCCCTGAGTAATTACATATCTGCCCGGCTTGAGATCTCATTCGTGATTTTAAAAGGTGATATTCAAAGGTCTCAACTCTGGGAATCATTTCCTCATTGCTCCTATTTCATTCACATCAGACATAACAGAAATCTTCAGCAAAAACAAAGGTAATTAGAGGAAAGATGAATGCGTTACTTTCCAGCAAATAGCTATTATTGAGTTGCCATCTGAGGGCTTAACCACAATTACTGGGATGATCCAGATTTTATTTTACTCCCTAATCCCTAGCTCTGATTTTAACGTGGACCATCCAGAAAGCATCTTTATTTGAACAAGGTCCTATAGACTAGGTATCCGAAATCCTCCTCTCCCTACTCCTCCCACCGTCCTGGAAGGAGGCTTTCTGCTTATGGTGGGCACTTTGACCACGGGTCCCCTGGAACACACAGTTGTTTAAATTTGCATTTCTCCAGGAAGGCTCTAATAGCTAGAGCAACTTTGAAAAAAAATGCCTCTCAAGTTATATTTCACATCTGTGCATTACAGACCTGACTCAAGGACCATTAAGTAGTGAAAAGTAATTAGGTTGACTTATTCATTTTCTTAGTGTTTAGGCAAGCCACATCGCCTCCCAGACACTGTTTTCTCTTCCACAAATTGAGGGTCCTACCTATTATCTTTGTCTCTGGATATTGTTCTAAGAATTAAGTGAGGTGAGATGAGAAAGTCTTTTGCCCACTGTAGAGCTCTTTGCAACTGTTATAAGAATGCTGACCTGCCGATCTCTCACTTCTAGCTCCAGTATTACTGAGAAAGATCCAAGCCGAGATGTTTCCTGACCACTCTGGAGATGTAAGATTAAGCTGCCAGTTTGCAGAAATTCATGAAGATTCTACCATCTGGTGGACAAAAGATTCAAAATCAATTGCCCAAGTGCAGAGAAGGTGCGGTATTTGCTCTTGGATACTTTTCATAGTTGCTGCGTATATCACAACATAGTTCTAAAAAACAATAATAATATGATGAAATAATACATTATAGGAAGTAAAAAGGGAAATTGGAGTAAAAAATCCACACCCAAAGTATTCAAGAAATGTAAGTAATGGAAGACAGGTGTCTGGACCGGGAAAATGGTGGTGGATTCTTGCCCTGGCTCTTCCACCATTGAGTTCCATGGCCTTAGGAAATCATGAAACCTTTCATTACGTTTAAAAGTGTAATTTAAAATTTTAAATTCTAGTTTTCAGAATCATTACATTTAGGGAACCACATCAAATTATCTCCTAGTCTAAGGCTCTGTGATCTGAAGATTTAAGAGCTGTCTTCTGTATGTCTGTGAATTTTGCTGTTTTCTGTTTCACAAATTCCCATTAACCAAACAAAGTGAAGAAGGTGAAGCGAACGGAAAAGACAATCCATGCAGTTGCAGAAAAGTAGCTGCGCTTGAGGGGCCTTTGCTGTTTATAAGTGACTCATGGCTCTTTCAAATAGCGTACTTCCCTAGTGAATACCTTCCTTCCATCTCTTTGCTGTTTATAAGTGACTCATGGCTGAGAGCTCTTTCAAACAGCGTACTTCCCTAGTGAATACCTTCCTTCCATCCTTTCATCCAGCCATCCAGCCATCCATCCAACTGCCCATCCACCAGCCAACATTAGACTGTTCTGAAGATGACATGAAATAGACTTTTAAGTGATTAGCACAATACCTGGTACATACCAAGTGCTCAATACACATTAGCTATTATCTTCCCCCTCACCATCACCTCGAGTTTTTCTTCTCCCTTATTGTATCGGGGTTTATATTTGGGTTTAAAGTTTTCAGGTTTCCTTCGAGCACAAGTCATATGGATTAGTAATATAACTGGGGTGAATTCTGATCTGAAGTTCTGATGAGCTCCCAGAATTCAGAATTCTAGTTCTTTGCTTTTTAATAATAGCCCATCCCCCATATGTTTCTGTGCATTAATATTGCATATGGGAGTCAAAGAATTAAACCAAAGTTGTACTGATCATCCCCTACAGGTGAATAAATGATTTAAATGGCACATCATGATCTTGTCCTTCAGCCAGCTCATAGGCTGAAAACATTAGGCCTGAGAAACATTAGTTCCTATTGCATTAAGTGTATCAGAAAATGCAACCTCAGAGTGATGACAGGTGCCAATGTTAATGTGCCCCACTTCAGCGCAGGAGACAACTCCACTGTGTCCTTGACCATCGTCCAAGCCAGTCAGAAGGACCAGGGCCTCTATTACTGCTGCATCAAGAACAGTTATGGAAAAGTGACAGCTGAATTTAACCTCACCACTGAAGGTAAACCCCAGCTTTTCAGGTTCAAATAAATGAGAACCGCTAGCATCTACCAGTTAAGAGTGTTCATTTGTACTGAAGGCATTCTGTTCTGTATCTTCTTCCAGTTCTCAAACAACTTTCCAGTCACCGGGACATTACAGGTAAGCTGATCTGAGTGGGATGTCAGGGTAGCGGGCTCACCATAAAGCATGAAGTAGCTCCTGGAGTCAATGGTAGAGGCATATTCCTATGGACGCTTCTAACCACGCAGCAGAGAACTCAGGGATGACTGAGAAAATGAATGAAAATTCATGAGCCATTTCAACCTGGCCGTAAGGCCAATGATAAGTTCTCTGGGTTACAAATATCCAGAAGTGTATCATTTATGACAAGAGATCAGATTGTAGGGGGTGGTTGCTGGGAACATGTGGAGGGGGAGTTTGGGGTTAGATTTTTCCCTTTAAGCATCAGACTAGCAGGCAGCCATCTGCATGGGTTTGTTCAGCCTCTGGCACTATGTGACATGTTTTGTTGCTTTAATTTACTTTTCACTTTGACTAGCTGAGCAGATTCCCAAAGGGAGCCAGGTGTCTAGGAGAAAACTCCATTCATCTGCATCATAATGAGAATGAAAGATGGGTGGTCGGGCTCTCCTTTGGCACTTGTGCACATCTGGTGTAGCCACAGCCCAGCAGCTCTCCTGAACACTCACACTGCCCCTGGGCTACCCACTGAGTACAGTTTGGTGGAGCCCATGCTTGTTGTAATTTTCCCTAATTCCTTTTAGGGAAAATTGCCCATTCCCACACATGTGCCCACCCCCACCCAGTAGTGTGCTGGTAAATTGTTAACAACGTGCTTTGTCGGGAGCAGGGGCAGGGGAACCTAAAATATATAGTTTTCCAATTTCTGTGGTATAAATACTCTCACCATGGCCAATTTTAAACGGACAGTGTGATATCACGAGAACGTGGAGCCCATAGTCAGCTCTCAGGGAGCAGGTTGAGCACACCTCTCAGCCCCCTCACCCCATGTTACACGGCTCTTGGCACAATGTGGGGCCCTTGGTCACACTTAGGAGAAATAGGAATGAAACTCTGATCATTAAATTGATTTTACATCTTAAAGATTTGCCTCTGTGCTGATTGGTAAAGCAAATACCTGAAATCTTTGTGAAAACAAGACCATAAAGACGAACAAGATACAGTGATATTCAGTACGTAAAAGGCAAGGAGCTGGGATCTCGACTTCAAAATGCTGTAGAAAATATTGTGATATTTATCCAAGACAGCAAACTTACTTAGACACAAACTCTTCGAAAATCCACTCAAATGCTAACTACCCATCTTTACTATGTACTGTACTTGTAGTATAATTTTAAATTCTTCCCCTGCTTCGGCTCCTATCTCTCCAAGAGTCAAAATTCACAAGAGAATGCCTTTCCTTCCGACCTTTTGGAAAACAGAATGACCTTTAGAAGAAAGCTGCTTCATCAGCTTCTCAACATTGGTTGGCTGTTACACACTAGATAATTGCTATGATCTCAATGTTTTAGGTTTGCAGTAACTCATTTCTCAAGGTCTGTACCAGCCAGGAATGGACCCCAGTGGGGATGAGCTGCTGGCCACCTGGTGGAAATAGCACACCTGTTGTAGCCCTTTGATTCCAACCACAGGTTTTGGTCTAGACCCCAATGACATCACCTTCACCAGCTTCTCCCTGAGAATGTCGGTCCCAGTTTCAGTGACTCATCGAGCTGTGAGCCATACTTGTCCTCTCCCTCTCCTTGCACTTTCTGATGAAGACACTTCAAATGACACATTATTTTTATTTGGAGGGATATCTCTCAATAAACATTTCACTAATTTAATTATCTAGAGAAAGAACAAATAACATTTTACAAGTTTATTAATTAGAGCAATAAACTAATTAATAAACTAATAAAACTAAGCTGGGATGTCCTGGCCTGTGTAGCTCAATTGGATGGAGTGTCATCTTGTACACCACATAGGGACAATGACAAGTGTGACCAATAGAACCTAGAAGGGGAACCACACTTAACTCCCAACAGAGGCATAGCTCAAAGCTGAGATGGGAAGATGGGCATTGAGGAAGATGTAGTGGATGACTAAATTTGGGCTATGTTTTAGCATGCGAAGAGATTGAATTCAGCCAACTTATCTTCAGAGAAGACTTCCTCCAGGACAGCTACTTTGGGGACCGCCTGCGAGGTCAGATCGCCACGGAGGAGCTGCACTTCGGAGAAGGTGTCCACCGAAAAGCCTTCCGCAGCAAAGTCATGCAGGGCCTCATGCCCGTCTTCCAGCCCGGCCACGCCTGCGTGCTCAAGGTGCACAATGCCGTTGCCTATGGGACCAGAAACAACGATGAGCTCGTCCAGAGGAACTACAACCTCGCTGCCCAGGTGGGTCCGCCTGCCCTAAAGGTGTCACTTAGGTGTGAGAGGGACCCCTAATAATCAGACTCAGAATTGATGGGAGTCTCCAAGAGGGTGTGTTGCTCCCTTGGGGTGTGGTGTAAGGGAACCACTGGATTAAGGCTGACAGCTGGGAACCATGTCTCAGTTCCCAGGAGTATTTCTTGGCCTCGTGCCAGATGGGACTCAGCCTATGTTTGGAGGCACCTCCCCAGTTCTGACCTGGGCTGAGGTCATTTCCTGGGAAGCCCCATGAGTTCCCTAAGGACTTGAATCTACTTGGACACAAGATGATATGGAAATGAGGGTCCTATGCTATACTGGACACCAGGATCCCCAAAGACAGCTAAAATTAGGAGTTGTTCCTGAGTGTTTTGTTTTAGATGGAGGTGGGATATATTTAGAAGGATAGGGCACAGTCAATTGTCCTGTTTCCTGCCTTCCTAAGTTTGGTTTAATGTCAGACCATAAACTATGAAGGGAGAGCGACCCAAGTCTGTAGCTGAGTCTCCTCCTCTCTATGGAACTCCTGTTAGTTTCTCTCCTTGCCTCCCCCTCCCACTTTGGTCCATTGTTTCACTCTTGATGCCAACTGGCCAAGCCTCTGGTAGTGCTGGGTCTAGCACTTCTACAAACTAGGTGCCCTTTAAAAAGTTTTACCTTCAAAATGATTAGACTTAGATCAATGTTTTGGGTGCTGTTAAGCACTAACCATCCATGATTCTCTCAGATGTGGCTCTGTCATATGGACTTGGTGCTCACGAAGGGCAGCCCCTCTTCTGTGGGGATAGGACTTTGCTAATAGTATTTAATTCTCCAAACCCGCCCTTCTTTCTTCTTTTCTTTCACTGAGCATTCCTTCCAACTTAGCGATCATCTCACCCAGTCATGGAAAATGCCCCAGAACCCAGACTCCCACTCAGAAATGCCATACGGAGTGGAAAGCAGAACCCAATATGCTTTTCCTACGCCAATAATCTTGTCAAGGTGTTCACTTTTTACAACTCCAATTATACCTTTGAAGAAGAACCTCAGATGGGGGAGCTCATGGGAAACCAACCAGCAAGCCCCAAGGTTTATCTGTCATCCTTCGGAGGGGCCAGTCCTCTTAGTTCAAGGATGGACTTCAGCCTTGCAGTTTATAAATTTTATAACTCAGGGATACCTGGCCCCAGAGACCACGTGACCTTCACCTGGATCATTCCTTCAGGTCTCAGAGCTCCTCTGCCAGCTCTAAGTTGCAATCATTGTTGCTTCTGTGCCCCTAATCAGGGGGTGGGTTTGGGAATCCATTGACCTGACTACATTAGGAAATCTGATTAGCTTTACCAAGCAGCTGTCTGAATTTCCTCTAATTGCTTGGATTTTCCATGTGTTTGGGTGATATAGGAATGCTATGTCCAAAATACTGCCAGACACTATGCCAAGATCTACGCTGCGGAAGCACAGCCTCTGGAAGGCTTTGGAGAAGTGCCAGAGTAAGTGTTTCCTCTCTTGAATTTCCACCCCTGACTTGTTGGGGACTTGGGGGGAACCTGAGGGGACAAGAGGATGAGAAAGATCAGGAGGACAAGCATTTCAATTGGTCACTATCTGTAAGCTGTGAGGGTACTTACGATTGAGATTCTGTTCTTCATTGGGTCACCAGAGGCTTTCAGAAAGATAATTGATATTCTTTAAATAAATGTATGTGTGGATGGATGGATGGAGAGATGAATGAATGCAATACATGTATCTACCATGTTAAGTAGAAAAGAAAGGATATGTACTCTCATGAATATTACATTGTCTAAACAATAAACAAATACAAGAGACCATATGAATATTACAAAATGACTAGTCCTATGAAGAAAATAAAATATGATGCTGTGTCCAGAAAGAGTGAATTGGGTGATCAGGATTATAGGAACATAATACCCACTTCCTGGAATTCTACAGAGATAAATTAAACTGATTGCTTTTATCCACTCACCAACTATTTATTCACCCAAGCAAATTTTGGTATCCACCGCTCTGAAGATGGATTGGGATGTTTCAATATCCAAGCCCCCTATCCTTCCTTACCATGGGAGAATTTGTGAACATGTGAATGGTGATAGTATATGGAGGGCAAAGTCCCTACAAAGAAAAGTGGTGATGGTTGTTTATGATGGGGAAACAAAAACATGTTCTTGGCTTTGGGGCAGAGGGAGTAAATCAAGAGTAAGAGGATAATAACTAACAAACATAAGATAAAACTTGAGACCAGGGATTGGCAAACTTTTCCTGTAAAGGGGCAGATAGGCTATTATGTAGATACTTGTGTCACAAATCCTTGTTGATGAATTTTAAAATATAATAATTAAATATAATTTTTGATATTTAGGTTTAATAGTGAGAAGAATGGAATTCTTCCTTTAAGTAAAATTTTGCTTAATTGGGGTTCAGGCTTAGTGTTTTCTATGACCAAAATGATGGGCAATGTTCATCTGTAAAACTCATTCTTAGCTTGTGGACTGGATTGGGCCCATAGGCAACGGCTTGTCAACCCCACTGTCCACATAGTTTCTTCTGCAGTAAGTAATGGGTAAGAGAGGAGGGTTATGTTGGGGCGTGCTGGAATTTCAGGGTTAGGAAGAAATGAGGAACCAGCAAAGGAGACCGACAAGAAGCAGCTGGGGAAGCAGGAGGAAACCAAGAGGAAGTGAGTTTCTGAAAGGCATGGGAAGGTGCTTCAAAAAGAAGTGAGTCAAGTGCCACTGAGAGCAAGTAAGATGAGGGCAAGTAAGTGACCGTTAGACTCTGCAACATGGTGCTCCTGGGCCCGTGACCGAAGCTTCTTCAGTGGGAAAGCCTCTTTGAGTGGGTTCAAGAGACATGGAAGGGGAGGGACTGGAGACAGTGCATCCAAAATGGATTTGAGCTTTGATGTAAGCTCTGAGTCAGTAGTTGTAGACCGTGGGGCCTACATGCTCTGTAGAGATTCTGCAGCATGTTGCTATGCCATTGAGAGTGATGCTGTCGAACAATATCCTTGAGCATTTGAGAGAGGTTGGGATCTAGGTGCCAGAGGGAGAGATGCTTCATGCAGGAGCAAGAGGGCTCATGCCTAAGAGGGGCGGGGCAGCAGAGGATATGGGCGCAGACCTTGGGAAATGGGAATACGTGGGGTGGCAACTTCAGATGTTCTGTTCTTATTGATTGAGGTTTCACAATGGAACAGGAAGTAAGGCCATCAGCTGAGAGTGAGATTGGGTTGCGGGGAGGGGGATTGCGGGGGGGAGGGAGAGTTGTAGGCGGTTAGAGGTGAGAGGAGCTGGTATGAAATAATCATCCAGGATGGAGTGACAGTAGAAGGACTAGTGCTGGAAGATGCATTCAGGGTCTGATCTCTCTCCAATCCCAGCTGTCATCACTCCTGCACAGCCTCCTCTCTGGTCTCCCTGTTTCTGCCCTTGTCCTTACACAGTCCATTTCACACAGAGTGGCAGAGTGATCCCTGTAACATAAGATCATGTCACTCCTCTGCCCAAAACTCTTCAATGGTACAAAGAGCAGAATTTTTCAAATGGCCAACCAGACCCGCCCCCAAAGGGTTCCTCACTGCACTGCAGCCACACTGGCTCCTCACTATTCTTTGAACACATCAGGAATGCTCCCACCCCAGAGCCTTTTCCATTTGTTGTTCCTTCTACCTGGATGGTTCTGTCCATGGATATCCTCATGCCCCTCCACCCCCATTTCCTGCAGATCTCTGCTCACATGTCCTTTATTAGTAAGGCCTTCTCTGACCTCCCTAAATAAAATAGCAGCTCCTCCCCCACCCCTGGATCTCCTAGCTCACCTCCACTGCTTTGTTTTTTCTCCTAGCACATAGCAACATGCATTTACTTACTGTCTCCTCCATTTAAATGTAAGATCCATGAGAGCAGAGCCTGTTCTTTGCCACTGTTTTCTGGGATAGAGTCTGGGAGTGTCTGACACCTAGAAGCCACTGAATGAGTATTTGTTGATTTGTGGACTGGAAGGATGGAAGGAAGGGTGGAAGGAAGGAAGGAAGGAAGGAAGCAAGGAAGGAAGGAAGGAAGGAAGGAAGGAAGGAAGGAAGGAAGGGAAGGGAAGGGAAGGGAAGGATGGAAGGAAGGAAGGAAGGAAGGGAGGGAGGGAGGAAGGTCAGAGGAAGGATGGAAGACTGGATATACGATGGATGGATAGATGGATTCTAATCATATGATCAATGGGGCCATTGAGAAATGGCTATAGTTGGACATTCATTTCTACCTGAGCAATTAAACTCAATCCCAGGAGGAGTTTCTGACTAACTCTAGGGACAAATGACAAATAGAAACTCACCCTTTTACTCATTGAATAATCATTGGTGGAGGGGTAGTTAATCTAAATCTAGTGGAACCCAGGCATTTATTCTGTGTGCCCATGTTCTCATCCTTTCCAGGATCATTCCTATTTTTCTCATCCATCGGCCTGAGAACAACATCCCATATGCAACAGTGGAGGAGGAGCTGATTGGAGAATTTGTGAAGTATTCCATCAGGGATGGGAAGGAAATCAACTTCTTGAGGAGAGACTCAGAGGCGGGTCAGAAGTGCTGCACCTTCCAGCACTGGGTGTACCAGAAAACAGGTGGCTGCCTCCTGGTCACTGACATGCAGGGTGAGGAAGTAGAATGATCCGGGCCCGGGGTGCGGTGGGCCTGGGTGCTGCTGGGGATGGGGAGGGAAGGAGAAGGACAGATGTGCTGGGTGCCTTTTAGCCCCTTCAGCAGCAGAAGGTGTTACTAACGTCCCCTCGGAAACAAGGTGGGACAAAGGAGCCTGAGGTGACCAGCCAAATGGAGTCAGACAGCGCATTTTAATAATTCATGCCGATAATGCCTCCCCATTACAACAGGCAACCAACGATTGGCAGCAGCTCCCAGCTGTCCTATCCTGGTGGAGCCATGTGCCGGTGCTTGCTTCTCCAGCCTTTATTGTTCTCTCCTCCACAGGCACAGGTTCAGAAGTATATGTGCAAATCCGGATGTGCCAAAAGTTAAATTCAGATGTAATCATTCATTCTTACTAGGTGAAAGGGTCTCTCATAGTTACTTTAGGTTTCAAGCTCCCCCGATGAAGCTACAGCATGTCTTCCATTTCTACACACATTTTTGGGAATGCATTTGTGGTATGAAGTGGGGATGTCATACTTTGGATTCCCACAGAAGCAGCCCTGAGACAAGTGGCAGTTTGGGGGTCCCCGAGACCACCGTCAGATTCATTAATTTGCTGGAAGGACCCACAGAACTCAGAAAAGCCATTATACTCGTGGTTACGGTATATTACAGCCAGAGGACACAGACTCAGATCAGCAAAGGGAAGAGGTGCACAGGCAGTGCCCAGGGCCGGCAGGCAGCAGCTCCCAGCTGACCTATCCTGGCGGAGCCATGTGCCAGAGCTCACTTCTCCACCATGGTGCCAACCAGGGACGTTCACATGTGCCTTGGTGCTCAGAGGTTTTATTGGGGGTCCATCGAGTAGGCATGGCTGACTGCCCATGAAATTGACCTTAGTCGCTAGCCTCTCCAGAGGTCGTGATACCACACGACCCAAGGTACCAGGCAGGACATGCCAAGGGCTTAGAATTTACCCCATAGGAGTTGGATGAGGATTGAACCTTCACTGCAATTATCCAGGAGCGGATCCCGGTATACACAGGTAGGAAAGTGAAGTGTGACAGGGAAAGGGAAGGCAAGCAGTTACCATGGTGATCACCTGAAATTCACGTCTCCCAGGGGGAACTCTGGGAGCCTGTGCAGAACACACATGTCAGAATCATCGCACCCAGGGAGTGACCCCTGTAGTTACCAGCGGAAGGCTGCACCCACACATGGGCAAGCCAAGCTGAGCAAAGCAGGGTCCTGTGATCAGAGAAAGTTCTCAGGCAAAGCAATGCTGGTGGTGGCACCGGAGGTGGGGCCAGTGTTTGGAAGCGGTTAGTGTGAGGGCAGTGGGTGGGCACCGACAGCCCTGCCACAGGGGGTTCCTATTTCTTCTTTGCTTTCCCAATAATCGTGCTAAGAAAAATCCCAACTATAATTGCATGCCTACTCGATGTCAGACATGTTCTATACAGGATCCTGAGGTCTAGCACCAGCCTGGTGGTGGAAAGCGAGGCTGCCCCTGCTCCTCCACTTGCTGGCTGTCAGCCTTGGGCAAACCGCTCACCCCTCTGTGCCTCAGTCCTTTTCACATGGGGCTGCCGTGAAGATTAAATGAGAGCAAAACATTTAGTGAAGCAAGTGTTTCCTTCTTTTTAAAAAAATTTTTTTGGGAATAACCATAGACACAAGAAATTGCAAAAATGTCCGGAGAGGTCCCCATGTACCCTTTATCCAGCTTTGCCCAGTGTGAACATCGTACATGACTGAGGTGCATATCGAAACCAGGAGATTGACATTGGCACAACCTGAGTAACAGACTACAGACCTTCCTTGGATGTCACTAGTTTTTGTATGCATTTATTCTCTCCTATTATTTTTGTTTAATCTTTGAAATAACTCTGCAAAGAAGATCGTGTGATCCCCATTTTACAGATGAGAAAACAGAGGCCCAGAGGCAGTGATTTAATTGCCTGCTGTCACTCAGCTAATAACCAGAGAGGTCCAAGACTTGAACTCATAATTTCTGACTCCAGACCCCAAGTTCTTTGCACTTGGGGTTAGTACTCACAAATTTGCAAATTGGCAAGAGATTTCTAAGTGTCAAAGTCTCCCCTGAGGGACACTGGGAAGTACAACCTTACAGTCTTGCAGATGGGGCTGATCTGCAGATTGAAGGCAGCCATCCCCGCTGCCTTTCGGAGACTTCCCGGCCACACACTCACAGATGCGGTCTCAGCAGACAGCCATCTATCCTAATTAGACGCTGCTGTGCCATCATTGATGCCCCCCTTCTCTTCTCCTTCAGAGTTCATTTCGCAGTAGATACAGTTCTTCTACTGAAGAGCAACACCCTGGAGCTTCATGCACAGCTTGTTTCGTTTCCAGGCGCCAGTAGACAGCTCTAGTGGATATTACCTCTCCCGGTAAATGAGGTGTGCGGTTTAATGTGGTGTTTCTACGGCGTTTATTTACCCTCTGCTGCTGCTAGGAACAGTTTTTATTTTTTTATTGCTATCATCTTTATGGCACAAGATAGCCCATTCTCTAAACAATATTCATATTTTATAAATGTACCGAGGCACTGGAATTAGCACAAAATAAACAAACAAACCCAAACTCAACCATTACCTTCTGAGACTCTTAAAAGCTAACCCCTCCCAGTTTGCATTTGCTTGTTGATGGGATTGAGGCTTGAACATGGAGTCTGGGATCTGGCCCCAGGATATGCACAGTGGGAGGCCCCTAGGCCCCTACGAAGCTGCCACCCCCAAAACCCAAGAACTCAACTTCTGGAGGACAAACTCGCATTGCTGCTGACTCCTTTCCTTCCGTCAGAGACAAACTGCAGATGACTATTATCCCCAGCACAGTTTAAGAGCTGCACGCTAGAATTTAAATTATCCTGCAGAGGCCTTCATAACCTTGATCGAATTGCTGGCAAAATATTAAAATGAGAGAGAGAGAGAGAGAGAGAGAGAGAGAGAGATTTCCAAAATCATATTATATTTTTCTAAACTAAGTGACAGTAACTGTGAGAAGCAAGAAAAGGCAATTCTTAAGTTCAAGAACCTTCTGCCAAATGACTTTTAAAAATTTTTTATTTATTGAATTTTAGAGAGAGGGAGAGAGGGAGAGAAACGTTAATTTATCATTCCACTTCTTTATGCACTCACTGGTTGTTTCTTGTATGTGCCCTGACCGAGGATCAAACCTGCAACCTTGGCCTAGCACAGTGATGGCGAACCTTTTGAGCTCGGTGTGCCAGCATTTTAAAAAACCCTAACGTAATTCTGGTGCCGTGTCACATATAGAAATTTTTTGATATTTGCAACCATAGTAAAACAAAGATTTATATTTTTGATATTTATTTTATATATTTAAATGCCATTTAACACAGACAAATCAACCAAAAAAATGAGGTCACATGTCACCTCTGACACGCGTGTCATAGGTTCGCCATCACTGGCCTATCAGGACAACGCTGCAATCAACTGAGCTACCTGGCCAGGGCCACATGGCTTTTAAAATTGGGCTCTGTGCAACTCAGAGCTGTGATTTTTCACTACAACGTTCCACAAAAAAAGGCTTCTGAAAAGGGCTTTTGCAGTTTGGTGTCTTTTTTTTTTAAAGAATAGACCCTGAAATAAAAGCTATGTGAAGTATTTATACATACGTTCTAGTTGTTAGCAGCTTTCAAAGAACAAGATGGATTCATTGCCAACTGTGAAAGGGGCTTTTAAAACACCCACTGACTCACCCCAAGTGCGTGTTGAAATCAGCTCACCGGTGCCCTGCAGAAAGGCAGGGCTGACAAGTTTGCCATCAGCTCGAACCTCAGGGTTGGCTTTGGCAGGATGCAGGTTCCTTTGTCCACAGCCCAGGCCGGCATCTGTGCTGCCAGCCTCCTCCGTGAGCAGTCGCCTGCTGGTGGTAGAGGAGACACCATCCCAGCCTGGCTCACACAGGACCAGGCTCGGGCCAGACTGGAGGGGTAGCACTGCCATCAGAGGCTCGTCGCTAGGCTGCAGTGGTGAGATTGAAGCAGAGGTCCACTGAGCTGGAACAGGTGCCCCTAGCCACTGCCGTAGAGAGCCAGGCTCCTCGAAACTGCTGCGTCAGAGGCCTGCCTTCCGGTCACGGTCCCATGCAGCTAGATGTATAACTGAGAGGCCCCTGCTGATGGGTCCGGGGCGGTGTGTGTTTATGCAGGAAAGGGCTGTAACTACCTCCCTGTCCTTTCAGAGCAGCCCGGGTAATACCAATTCTGTCTTTGCTCGCCCTTCCTGTAGGTGTAGGAATGAAGTTAACCGACGTTGGCATAGCAACTTTGGCTAAAGGGTGAGTAGAAAAAAAAATCGAGTGCATCTTATCCATCCCGAACTCTGGGCTTCCAAACACCTCCTGCGCAGACAGTTCCTCCGAGGTGGGCAAAGCGGATTTCTTGTCCTGACTGTGGTGACAAATGTTCTTGGGACGAATTCAATTCATTTCTTCACTTACATAAAACATGAATGGACAGCTGGGTCCTAACTTTGAAAGAAATGAGAACTCTGCAAAGGAATGCCCTGGGGGCAATGCCAGAGTCCCGGGATTCCTTTTCACTATGATGTCCCATTTTCTACATTTACTATCTTCACTATTCGAAGCATAAGTAGAAATACATACATACTGCATTCTACCACAGGCAGTATTTGTTTTGCATATTTTTATGTATTTCCCCCCCAAGTGCCCTTCAGGCAGCCTCCTGGTGATGGTGACAGGATCAAATGGCTCTGGAAGGGCTGTGACTGGTTGCCTGGCTTGCTGTTGATGTTTTTGGTTTCCTTTGCTTGCATGGAGTGTGCCCAGATGGCACTGCCACCGTTCTCTGGGGTATCTCTGGCAAACTGTGCCTGCTCGCTGCCTTGGCCATGACCGAGAAGGCAGACTCTTTGTGGTTCTTGGTGAAAAAAGAGTTCTGGGTTGGAGCTGCTGTTGCCTGGGCCACTGCTGATGTTCCTAGGAACTAAGACCCTTTGTAAGGAGGAGGAAGTAGAGGGCAAATGACTTTCAGAAGGGATGGCTTCTGTTTTAAAATGTAAGTGTTATTACTGTTCAGGTATGATCAGGAGATGATCGCCATTGAAAAGGCAGTTATTACTCACAGCTCCATTGTTCATAGGTCCCCAGAGAAGGGGGCAGGCCATGCCACGGGGGGGGCG